TTTTTTTTTTTATGAATCTTTGCAAATCGCCTTTCCTAATAATGTGCTAGTTAGCAAGTTTCATGACGAATGCTCGGAAGAGAGGGGCGGGGTCAGCAAAGCTCATTAGCATTTAAAGAGACATGCAAGGAAATGGGTTGCTGTAAACAGAGCTGATTTTGACAGGGTAAAAATGGTGTTGTTTTACACTACCATTGAGAAATTTTAACCAAACTATGTTACAGACTTTTCATTAAGACCCTAAAGAATCATATCAACTTGTGGAAAATGGACATCCCTTTAAAGGGTTAGTTCACCCAAAAATGAAAATTCTGTCATTAATTACTCACCCTCGTGTTGTTCGAAACCCGTAAGACTGTCGTTCATCTTCGGAACACAATTTAAGATATTTTTGATGAAATATGAGGGCTATCTGACCCTCCCATAGACAGCAAGGTAACTACCATGTGCAAGGTCCAGAAAAGTACCAAGATGATCGACAAGTAGTCCGTGTGACATCAATGGTTCAACTGTAAAGTTACGAAGCTACGAGAATACTTTTTTGCACAAAGAAAACAAAAATAACAACTTTATTCCACATTTTCACTCGTCACTTGTGGACCCGCGTTCACGACAGTATCATGACACGAGCAAAAAAGTATTCTCGTAGCTTCGTAACTTTACAGTTGAACCATTGATGTCACACGGACTACTTGTCGATCATCTTGGTACTTTTCTGGACCTTGCACGTGGTAGTTACCTTGCTGTCTATGGGAGGGTCAGATAGCCCTCATATTTCATCAAAAATATCTTAAATTGTGTTCCGAAGATGAACGACAGTCTTACGGGTTTCGAACAACACGAGGGTGAGTAATTAATGACAGAATTTTCATTTTTGGGTGAACTAACCCTTTAAAGGGATGTCCATTTTCCACAAGTTGATATGATTCTTTAGGGTCTTAATGAAAAGTCTGTAACATAGTTTGGTTAAAATTTCTCAATGGTAGTGTAAAACAACACCATTTTTACCCTGTCAAAATCAGCTCTGTTTACAGCAACCCATTTCCTTGCATGTCTCTTTAAATGCTAATGAGCTTTGCTGACCCCGCCCCTCTCTTCCGAGCATTCGTCATGAAACTTGCTAACTAGCACATTATTAGGAAAGGCGATTTGCAAAGATTCATAAAAAAAAAAACTTATACTCACTTCTTCTGGAGGTGAAGCTGGATCACGAATGATTTGCGCAAACAGACGCATTTAGGTAGATCTGGGGGCGCATTCTCTTCAAAAACAAAGGTAATCCACTGCGTATTCAGCAGCTCAGATGTCGGGAGTAAATGACGATTGCCATGTTCATTATTACATCCAACAACAGAAAACCTCAATCGCTTAGGAGACATTCTTGTCTACTTCTGCTCCGGTGTCGAAGCAATGGTGGACTGATGACAGTCACTCAGGGCGGGTCTGTGATAAAACCAAAGACTGACGCCACTGTCAATCAACAATCGTGGGAGGGGCCTGTGCAGAACTACATCATTCTGCCAAGAATCTGTGAACGGCTTGATATGAGAAAGGGGTTTGGATTTATAGAGATTAAAAAAAAAAAAAAAAACACTGGGGGGATATTTATCATTATAGGGTGGTTGTGTACACATACTGCCAAGAGACATTTTTTAAAATGTAAAAGTGAATTTTGCATCCGATGACCCCTTTAAAAAGGAAAAAAAAATACTAAAATGTGCTGGATTGAAAATATTAATTTCTTGATTTTTTCTTAATTCAATAAACGGATATTGATTTTTAAAAACCAAAAATAACTGTAGAGAGGAGCATTTTGCTAAATATGTGCTATATTATATATTATATTTCTTTTACTTTTTAACCTGTTCTTTAATATCTATGTATGTTTGTTTGAATAAATCCTCTATGAAAACTGTCATTTTTTTATGACAGTCACTGTTTAAATGTCTATAAAAACTGCCTGTGCAATGTAAATAATTAAAATAATATTGTATATAATGTAAATTAAGTATTGTGTATAAATCAGTTGTTAATTTTTTACGTTCAATATTTTATGTTTGAATAAATTAGTGTTTTAGTAGCCACTGTTTAAATTGTACACATCACTTTAATATTATTGTAATCTACCAACTGACGAATCAAATGAATCTATTTATTATGAATCGATACTGACTGAATCATTATTGAATAAAGTAGAATTGAATTACAAGCTTGTGATTCGAAATTGAATCAAATCATGAAATTTGTTCCAATACGCATATTCAAGTCAGCATTCAATGACAATTTTCCCCTCCACTCTCAAATCTCTTAACATTATGTGGAAGGTGTTTTGAGACGCAGTTATAAGTTGATGTTGCAAGAGAACATTTGCTTTAACATTCTTAAAATAACGTTCAGCCAGTGTCTGGTTCAGATACTCCATGAAGGTACGGTTTTGTATTTCTACAGGCTGCAAGTCTAGAAAAGCAGAGCATCATTTATCAAGCTGTGCTGCCAGGCTCGAGAATCTCGTACGCTGCTGGCAAAGATATATCTGGCAGCACCAGTTACTGGACTGCTGTTAGCAAAGCAGAGGAACTGACGTCACTCACTGTCGCAACCAGATCAAAAAAAATATTTCTTGTATTTGCACTGTCAACAGGCCTTTGTCTCCGCATGGTTTGTGTTGTTTCGATGAGGCTAGACGTTCAGCGGGAGTTATTTTTGTGCACCAGCATTGCTGTGTAAGGAGGCTTCACGCGATGGTAATGTTTCGGATTGTCGGCATAGCTGTTAACATTTCTAACGTGCTGATTAGACGTGCTGTTAATTTTGAGCTACTACAGTTACAAAGGCTAAATCGATTCCTTCCATAACAAAAAGTCTCTCAGCTTTTCTAAATTTAGATGTGCGATTTCTATAAATGCTGTAGATGATTTTGCAGGAGTGTCATCTCACGTTTTATATTTTAAACCCAACATCAAACTCATTAAATCAATGTAAAAACAAATAAAATAAATAAAAATAAAAACAAATACAATTATTTGTTAAATAAATAAAAAAATACGTTTGTAAAATAAAATAAAAATAAATACATACATTGTTTTGCAAAATAAAAAAATAACAATTTGTAAAAAATAAATAAATTGGTAAAATAAAAATAATAAATAAACTAATTTGTTAAATACAATAAAAATAATTATATAATTTAAATTAAAAAAATGAAATTAATAAAATAGTTTGCACAATAAAATGCATAAAATATGGATTAGAGATTTGAATGCATCATGTGCATCTTCGGATAATGTGTTTATATGCATATAGTGCATCTAGTAAAAAATAAAAACACTAAAATATCACCCCATGGGTCTTCCTTTGAGGAATCAATGTCATTGTTTTATTTGGAGGCTTTTTTAATCTCACGCTAAACATAGTTTGTCTGTTGGTTTTTAGCTGACCTTGGAGACTTCAATCGATATGACTCCCAGGAATTCCTTCAAAAAATTGTGCTTTTTCCAATGGTAAGTAATTATTGAACATTTTATTGTCTGTTTTAGGTTTAAAGGCTGCAGGATATGTCATAAGTCTGTTATTTCAACTCTGTTTCTCTGCTTTTCTCAGCCATGGATACAGGACGAGAGGGTTGTGGAAGAGGCCACCCAGAAAGTCTCCATGCTCTATCAGAACTACCGGTGAGAGGCTGTAGTCATTTCTGAAATGTGCTAGTTTTCCCATTTGGAAAAGGCTGAAAGACTGTTAGCCGCTGTTTATGTGAGCTTCATGATTATCAGATGTGTTCGGATGGTTCCTGTTAGAGGATTTCAAAGGCAGCTGTCAAACCCCTTACGTGAATTATGAACAGACTTTCAGCTTTGGACACAAGGCAACAATAAATGCTCTTGGCTTTCCTGCAAAAGTTCTGTTTTAGAAAGTCTTTCAGATGAGGTTTAAATATGCTCGGCACACGTTAAGGCTGGGATATATATTTTGAAATATTTTCCACGTTTTGTTGCTGATATAAAATCTAAATGATCTAAATCGCGATGTTTTATTTGGCCTTTAGGCCTAATATTTCTAAAAAAGGCATGTTTTTATATAATGCATTATGAAAGAAGGGCTAATTTCAGCTCTATTTTAAACCTTAGTAACAAAATGCTGTTAGATTTGAATAGTTGATTAAAAAATGTATTGATCAGCGTTTCTGCGGCTCTTTTAAAGTCTTATTTCACTCCCTACCACAAATAAAGGTCTTAAATCAGAGTAAAAAAGTATTACATTTTTAGTCATGGCATTAAATGTTGCATGCACTGCAAAAATGAATATTTACTCAGTATGTTTGTCTTTATTTTCCAATACAAGTATCTAAACAGCCTTAAATCAATGTCTTGTTTTCTGAAAAACTGAACACAATTAAATGAGATTATGCATAAAATAAGAGCAAATGTCTGTCAATGTTGTATGAAAACATGTTTTTCCTTTGAATTAAGTTGATTGTTCTTCACATTGGCAGATATTTGTTCTTGTTTTATTCATACATTTTGATGAATTTCTCAGAAAGCAAGACATTTTTCTCTCAGTGTCTCAGCTTTCTTTGCTTCTCAGTGCTTCAGTTTTCTTTAAGAAACATTTGTAAGTTTGTATTGGAAAATAAGACAAACATTCTGAGGAAGAACATCACTTTTTTGCAGCGTGAACAGAAGGTACATTAAAAGTTATTTCTTACAACAATCTATACTTTACATAATATAGTTCTTCGTATGGCACATCATGCAGATGAAACGACTTTTTAGTGTCTTGGAAGAAATATATATACAGTGGGGCAAAAAAGTATTTAGTCAGCCACCAATTGTGCAAGTTCTCCCACTTAAAAAGATGAGAGAGGCCTGTAATTTTCATCATAGGTATACCTCAACTATGAGAGACAAAATGAGAAAAAAAAATCCAGAAAATCACATTGTAGGATTTTTAAAGAATTTTGTTTGTTCGAGTAATGCACGATAAGCATGAGGAAGAATCAGCACAGATGAGTCTGATAATGACATCAGATGACAAGTGCATTGTTGAATGTGACCTTTGTGCTGTAGTGTCTCAAGTCGAAGCTGTGTGTGTGTTTTCTGTTTCCCAGAGGTCTGTCCGTACCGGAGGCGGAGTTACTCTACATGCAGGAGGTGGAGAAGATGGAGGGGTACGGTGGGGAGAGTGTCCAAGCGAAGGTAAAGCAGCAAAGAAAAGCTGTTCTTTGTGTAATTCAAGTTCCTTTTCATGGGTGCAAGCTCATCGTGCAAGAGTGCACACGACTGCTTTGACAGTGTGAAAGTGAGAAATGCATGCACCTAAAATATCTATGCACAGGGATATATTTATGAGAGTTTAGTTTTAAAGTATTCAGTTTACCTTATAATAGATTCCTGTGATGCATTTTGCATAAGTCATCTTCATCAGATTTGAATGAAATGTAACATTCCATCACTTGCTCAGCAATGGAACCTCTGCAGTGAATGGGTGCCGTCAGAATGAGAATCCAAACAGCTGATAAAAACATCACAGTAATCCACACCACTCCAGTCCATCAGTTAACATCTGGAGAAGACAAAAGCTGCATGTTTGTAGCAACAAATCCAGTCCTTTTTCTATTGAAAAAGTCATCTGGCCTGAATCAGGAGAGAAATATGCACCATTTACCGTCCAAAACAGCTCTTTTGATGTGAGAGACAACAGGGGATGGACTTTTTCTATGGAGGACGTGTTATTATGGATTATCGACTATTTTGGCCAGAAACAATGGTTTGAAGTTGTTTGGACTCTCATTCTGGTGGCACCCATTCACTGGAGAGGATTCGTTACTGAATTATTAATTATTTTAAGACACTGAGAGCCTTTTAAATGAATAATTATTTCACGATACTTCATTTTAAAGGGGTCATATGATACGTTTTCATGTTTTCCTTTCTCTTTGGAGTGTTACAAGCTGATTGTGCATAGATAAGATCCCTGAAGTTGCAAAGACTAAAGTCTCAAAACCAAAGAGATATTCTTTATCAAAGTTAAGACTCTGCCACGCCCCCCTAAAACGGCTCGTTCTAACACGCCCCCACATATCTACCTCACTATGTGGAAATATTAGCATAATGCCGCCCAAATGTGCACGCAAAGAAAGAAGGCGTGGTTTCAGTAACCGCAGTTAGTGTTGAAGCAGCGTGTCAGAGAGACGCTGTGTGTTTCTAGGAGAAAGCAAAAGCACTTTATTTGGCCTTCCGAAAGTAGATGCATTTAGGAATCTTTAAGATTACTTACAACAGAACAGCAATGCATTTTATGGACGACCGTTTCGTGAACCTAGGAGAGGAGGTCATTCTGACTTTGCTATGACAATCTGGCGCTTCTGAATCAGCTACTGTTTTGTTATTAGTTTAAGTATTTGCTATTGACTGTTCAAATGCGGAGTTTTGCGCATCGTGTGTGTGTGTGTGTGTGTGTGCGTGTGTGTACGTGTGCTTGTGCGCGTGCGAGAGTGAGAGAGACTAGCTTCATCACTGTGTCTGTCACGCGACTCTGTTCCCCTTTTGGGCTCTGTCTTTACATTTATTTTGAAAGATGAAGCTGGTGATTATGGTAAGGGGCGTTACATTTCCGACGAGTGCTTGCGGTGTTCGGCCAATCACAATGCACTGGGTCAGCTGGCCAATCAGAGCAGACTGCGCTTGTCGGAAGGAGGGGCTTTGTAGAAAACGAAGCGTTTGAGAGAGGCGGGGCATAGAGGACCTACAATAATGTACAGTATTTGAAAAATAATGTGTTTTTTGAACATTAAAGCATGTCAACATATTCTGTTACACCAAATACACAAAATAATGATCTTTAAAAAAGCATCATATGACCCCTTTAAGATTTTTTCCTTGTGTCTAAACAGGATTCTCAGAGCGCAGATGTGATTATCGGCTCTTGTCTGGATGGGATTTTTGTCAAGCACAAAAATGGGAAAGCACCTCTCATGTTTCGGTATGTGTGCATTCATCTTTTTGTGTGTTTTTTGCATTCATTCATTAAAGCTGGTGAGATATATAAAATAAATTGACACATTTTTGATGTTTAGCAATCCCAAGTGATATTCATTTGGCTATTACATTTCCTAAAGACATTTTCATCAGTCAGCAATGTTTAAGGGAGTCTCTGCATGGCATATTACAATGTTTTAATAAAAATATTATATAGGTAATATCACTACTAATCACAATGTTTTATATTGCAGCGTTTAAATTAATATGATTATTCTTGTGTTAATATAGTGAAACAAAGTGTGCAAAACTTTGAAAAAAAAGCATGGATGATTGTAAATAGATTTATTTCTGTATTTTACTTATTGAAATTTTGTTTCCTCCTATTGGGCAAAAAATCACCCTTCCTCAGAGCAAGAATAATCAATATAGATATTGTCTAAAGACTTGCCCTCGTCTTCAAAAGGCTGTTTATCGTCCAGTGTATCGTGTTTTTAGGTTGTGTTTTGCCGTCATGTGTCTGACTCGAGCTCTTAATTGTTTCTGCAGGTGGAATGACATAAATAATATGACTCATAATAAGTCTTTCTTTGCCCTGGAGCTTGCCAACAAAGAAGACACAATCCAGTTCCAGACCGTAAGTCAGATGCTTCAGATGCTTTTCTCTTCCTAAAATAGCCAAAAGACTGAAGTTAACCTAGAGTTATGCTATCACATATGCCTGTGTGTATTAGGGATGTGCGCAACGACTAATTTGACTGACGTTTAAACTAAAGTTTTGTATCCAACTAGTCTAAAAGCAAGAAACCCCCAAAAGATGGTAAGACAAAAAAAACCTCTGTGCGTGCAGCATATATAATAGCCTATATTTGAAATACGTAATCTATGAATCGCATTGTCAGATCCCTCAATGAATTCCGCTTGCCACAAACTTGCCTCGCGTTATCATCATTTAATTTTAGGCGGTCGTTAAAAAGAAAAAAAAAGAAGAGTATACACTCAACGTCGGCCAAAGCATAGCTTATTTATTCAAATGAGCTGGGGAAATGCAGAACAATGGAAAATCAATCAATAGCCTGAAAGAATTCTTCATCTTCATATAACGTTAGCCAACATATTAAAACATAAGTCAAAAACAATAGGAAGGTTTATCAAGAAATAGCATTAAAACGGCCTTTAAAAACATATTAGTGTAGGCTATATCGTCTAAAAACAAAATGCAACAATGCCCATTTTACTTACTCAGACCATGCCTTATTTGTTCAGTGAAATTATCAACGTGGTCTGTTGAAAGACGGGTCCTGAGGCGATTAAAAATAAAATTCCTGCACTTGAAAAAATCTACTCTGCAGGAACTGAAGTCGCAGGCACGCAGAGATAATGAAAAGCAAGCCGATAGAGTTTCAGAAAGCGCCTGGACATCCCGCACCACCACCGAAGTGGGTCTTCGTTAGAGGAATAGACGGTGCGGACGGGATCGCAGGTTGTAGTGAATGGCGTGATTGACATTTGCTGGCTTTGGCCAGCCTCTACGCTAACTCCTACGTGCCTGTATTTATGATTACGCATCGCTCCAGTAGAGTTATTGTTAGACAGTTTGACATTACACAGTTTACACACAACTTTTCCGTTTCCTTCTAATTCAAAATAATCCCACACCTTCTCATCTTTCGCATGGTCATTTTTTTGTTTTTAACTCGCCGCAACTGACACGAAGAAAACGCATGTGAGGTCTGGGGTAAAAATGTTTCCGTCCAGATAATCTTTTAAAAATAATGTATTATTTTTCAAACGTTTTATTTTAACTTAAATTCCTGCACTTGAAAAAATCTACTCTGCAGGAACTGAAGTCGCAGGCACGCAGAGATAATGAAAAGCAAGCCGATAGAGTTTCAGAAAGCGCCTGGACATCCCGCACCACCACCGAAGTGGGTCTTCGTTAGAGGAATAGACGGTGCGGACGGGATCGCAGGTTGTAGTGAATGGCGTGATTGACATTTGCTGGCTTTGGCCAGCCTCTACGCTAACTCCTACGTGCCTGTATTTATGATTACGCATCGCTCCAGTAGAGTTATTGTTAAATGTAGGTAAAAATGTAGTTTCTGTCCAGATAAACTTTTAAACTTTTAAAAATAAAGTATTATTTTAACTTGTTATTTAAAATGACTGACACGAAGAAAACGCATGTGAGGTCTGAGGTAAAAATGTAGTTTCTGTCCAGATAAACTTTTAAAAATAAAGTATTATTTTAACTTGTTATTTAAAATGTTTTAAATGCAATGTTAAAATGACGGTACGGTAATTCATGTTTTTGTTTAGTTTTTTCTGTCGTGTAATCGACTATTGTTTTCAGTGTCGACTAGTTGGAGCTGTACCGTTTAGTCGATTAGACCCGCACATCCCTAGTGTGTATGTCCATTCATATTAGTGAATAGATTTGTAGCTAGCCTCCAAAGAACGCCACTCATTTTGGCCTTGAAACACACGAGTCAATGTTCTGGCCTGATTTGATTCAGTAAAAATGTTCTGGCTCTGTTTCAGGAGGACATGGAGACGTCCAAATACGTATGCAGAATGTGGCTGGCGAGGCACAAGTTTTATAAAATTAACAACAGCAGTCTGTAAGTTTATGTGTGTGTTTTCTGTCGTGTGTTTTTGTTAGAATTGCACTCATTTTGGCCAATACAATATGAACAGATCTATAGACACTTACAGATGCTGGTCATTTGTCTTTTATTTCCCCTAAAAAAAATGTTTAATGTTGTGACTAAACATTCAGTCATTAGTGGATTGGATCTTGTGCTTGGATGTGTAACAGGAATACATTATATGCACAATAAAAAAGAAAACTTTTCATAATTTAGCAAATAATTCTAACAAAAGTTTGGGATCTGTAAGATTATTTCGTGTTTTTCTCTTCTCACCAAGGCTGCATTTATTTGATCAAAAATACAGTAAAAACAATTAAATATTATTACAATTTCAAATAACTATTTTCTATATGAACATATTTTAATATGTAATTTATTTCCGTGATCAAAGTGATCATTCAGTGTCACATGATCCTCCAGAAATCATTCTAGACATTTCATATAATTGTTAAAAACTGATATTTTACTTCATACTTCTGTGGAAACGTGTCTTATGAATAGAAAGCTCAAAAGATCAGCATTTATTTTAAATACAATTTTTTTTGCAATATTATATGTGTTACCTTTGATCAATTTAATGTATCCTTACTGAAAAAAAGTATGTAAAAACAAAACAAAATTGCTGATTTTGTTAGTTGAATCAGTAATTTGCTGATTAAAATCATTGGCTGCTTCATCAGTGCGTCTGTAGTTTTGTGTCTCCTCCTTCACCGCTATCCGTTTACTGTCTCCAGAGAGCTGTCTGACGGCCCAAACTCTGAGGGCTCCCAGAGGTCCATTCTCTCTCTTTCTTTTCCTCGTTTTCCAAACCTCTCTCGTCCCTCTGTTCCTGCTGACAAGGGGTGAGCCTGACTGCACAAGGGCATCGATGCTTTACTGCTCAGAGCTTCTCATGGGCTACAGAGTGACAGAAAACTCCTGATAACTCTTTAAGGAATGGCATGACAACATGCTCGGGTCATATTATACCGCAAATGTAATTAAAAAAAAAAAAAATTTTCCTAAATAAAATGCAGCCCTTTTTGGATCATTACAATTTTATTTTATCAAGATAATTTATAGACAGTAAATCAAATAAATGCTTTACTGCTCAGAGCTTCTCATGGGCTACAGAGTGACAGAAAACTCCTGATAACTCTTTAAGGAATGGCATGACAACATGCTCGGGTCATATTATACCGCAAATGTAATTTAAAAAAAAAACAATTTTCCTAAATAAAATGCAGCCCTTTTTGGATCATTACAATTTTATTTTATCAAGATAATTTATAGACAGTAAATCAAATACTACTTTTAAAAAAAATAAATATTTAACTTTACAATAATTCCCCATTACAGCATCATAGATTAGTTAAATATTGATAATGTGGGTAAAATGCACCCTATTTTCATAATGTCAATGCGACAATGCACATATTTTTGAAAGAAGTCTCTTCTGCTCACCAAGGCTGCATTTATTTGACCAAAATTACAGTAAAAATAGTTATATTGTGAAATATTATTACAATTTAAAACAACTTTTCTTTGTTTATTTTAGATCATTAAGTATTTTATTTTATTTGTTTTTAATCTGGACTAACTGTAGTCAGCTGCAAATCAAATGCTATAATCTTTTATAAATATTATGTTTTATATATATATTATTTATATATATATATGTATAGAGAGAGAGAGATAGATATAGATATATAGAATGTGTCTGTGAGTTGTCATGAAAGTTTGAATGCAGTGCAAAATGCAAACCGCTGAGTTTGTACTGTAGTGTCACAGTGCATGTGACGAATAAAACATTGACGTTTATTACTCTCTGGTTTATTTCACAGATGTGTTTTATTGTTTTGTGTTTTATTACAGACAAACACAGCCCGCTCCTGTAAACACAGTGAGGCGACGGTCCTCGACGAGAATGTCTCTGGTCAGCATTATGCCAGTTATTCAATGACTATACAACAGTTTTGCTATGGAGCTTGTTCTGTAGTACGTTTCTGGAGTTTGTCGGCTCTGCATGATCTCATGTGATTTACTGTAGCTCTGTTCCAAAACCTTGCTCTCTACATACTAGGCAGCTCCCTTTTAAGGCAGCATCCTAACTAAAATGTAACCTTAACCTTAACCGTATCCATAAGCATAAAAAACATAAAACAAAAAAGCTTTTAATTGGACTTTTAATGCTTTCTATCTTTGAACCAATGCTTGATGTTGTGTGTGCACTTGTATATCTTCAAATACAAAGTCTAGATGGGCAGCTCTCCAGGTTTGGGACAGAGTTAATATGTCTAGCTGAATAATGCTGCTTTTGTTTTGTCTTATGATGCAGCCAAAACCGCAACCCTACATGATGCCACCTCAGATGCACTTTAACGGCCATTACACCGAACCGTACACGTCTTCACAAGGTAGGACATCTGCCATCAGCAACGGGCCAAAACTGCACAAAATGATTTTCTTTAGTATTTTGCTTCTAAACATTCTTAAATCAAGATAAAACAAAATGACAGAATTTAGTGAGAAACAAATCTTTCAGTGTGGTTAGAAAAATTTACTTCACACCTTTTTAGAACTTTACAGAAAAAAAGACTTAATATAATATCTAAACATTCTTAAATCAACATACATTTATTAAAAAAGCAAAATAACTTAAGATATGAAGTCTTCTCAATGTAATGTATCTTGATGTAAGAGTTATATATTTGTACTCGAAAACAAGACAAAAATACTAAAACAAAGTCATTATTGTTTATTATTTATTCATTTTTTTAAATTGAGATAAGTTACAGACAAATTGTCAATAGACAAAGTCAAATACTATGCAAATTAATTTATCTTGATTTAAAAAAAATGTTGATAATAATTAAATTGTGCTGGAAAAGAAGACAAATATGATGAGAAAATCATTCTTTTATTTTATTTATTATTTTGTAATTAAATTATAATAAATAATAATAATAATAAAGGTTAATTATAATTTTAAAAAGTAAATCAGATACTACAATCATTTATAAATATTTAAGTTAAAGGGGTGGTTCATTGTGATTTCACATTTTTTAATGTTAGTTAGTGTCTAATGTTGCTGTTTGAGCATAAACAATATCTGCAAAGTTACGAAGCTGAAAGTTCAATGCAAACGGAGATATCGTCTTTTTAAAATTCTGGCAGTTTAATGCCTACAAAAACGGCTGGTAGGGACTACAACGAGTTACTTCCCGGGTTTGTGACGTAACAAACCCAGATAAACCCTGCCCTTGAGGCCATGCTGTGCTGCTTTAGAGAAGAGGAAGAGAAAACTAAGAAGTGCACGTAAAAATCTATTCATATATGAATCGCAATTCTGTCTTCTAACGATTCGAATGGATTCACAAGTTTCAGAATCAATTTTCTAAAGCAGCGGTTCTTAATACTGTTCCTCGCATCCCCTGCTCTGCATACGCTCTGCATCTCTCTCTCTCTCTCGCTCTCTCTCTCGCTCTCTCTCTCGCTCTCTCTCTCGCTCTCTCTCTCGCTCTCTCTCTCGCTCTCTCTCTCGCTCTCTCTCTCGCTCTCTCTCTCGCTCTCTCTCTCGCTCTCTCTCTCGCTCTCTCTCTCGCTCTCTCTCTCGCTCTCTCTCTCGCTCTCTCTCTCGCTCTCTCTCTCGCTCTCTCTCTCGCTCTCTCTCTCGCTCTCATTCAGCTCAGCTCCAACAATGAACTGTTCCAATTATACACTTATTTTCACATAGCTGTGAGAAGCGTTAAACACGGACGCGCATGCAGTTGCCGTACTGTATTAAAACCGTATGTTAAAAGCTAACAGAAGCAGTAGCATTTACAAATAACAGTGTATCTAAAAGTATGAGACATCAACAAACAAAAAACAGGCCTACCATTAAAAGCCATGCTTGCACAGTTTCTGCACGATCCTCTTCAATAATATCCTCTGCTTCTCAATCGGGCTCAAACTGATAA